CCATCACCACCACCACCCTAGCTCACCACCACACCCCATCACCCCCACCACCACCCACTACCATCACACCCCATCACCCCCACTCCCCACCACCATCATCACCATCACCACCACCACCACCCTCATCCCATCACCCACCACCACATCCCACCACCCACCACCACCACCATCACCACCCACCATCACCACCCACCATCACCACCCACCATCACCACCACCATCACCACCCACCATCACCACCCACCATCACCACCACACCCCATCACCCACCACCATCACCCCACCATCACCACACCCCCACCACACCCCCACCACCCCCCATCACCCACCATCACCACCATCACCATCACCCCCCCCCCACCACCACCACCCCCATCACCCCCACCATCACCACACCCCCACCACCACCACCACCATCACCACACCACCACCACACCCCCCCCCCCACCACCACCACCACCACACCCTCACCACCACACCCCCCCCCCCACCACCACCACCCCCCCCCCACCACCACCACACCCCCCCCCACCACCACCACCCCCACACCATCACCATCCTCGCTCACCGATGTGTGTATCCTCGATGTGCTCAATCAGCTCGCCGAGTGACGGGAACGCGAGTCCGCAGCCGCTGAAGCGACACGCGTTCGAGAAGAAAGAAACGGCCGCCACTCCCGTCATCTTCGTCGTCGATGAAGATGATGATGATTATTGGAGATTGGTGGTGGCTTGGTGGTGGTGGTGGTGGTTGGTGGTGGTGGTGGTGGTGGTGGTGGTGGTGGTTGGTGGTGGCTGGTGGTGGTGGTGGCTGGGTGATGGTGAGCAGCGGACCCCGTGGGTTACCCCCGGCCGCCGCCCGCCTCGCTCGTCACTCGCTCCGCGGCGTCGTCCGTCACGATACCCCCCTCAGTGCCCGCGGGTACCCCCACTGTAATTCGTAGCGCGGATAGGTGACGGCGCGACGCGATTGGCTGCGGCTGCAAAGCGTGGCCAATCGCTGCAGCGCACCGAGGGGGACGCGTTGCAGACTCTGACCTATCGGAAGGCAGCGTCGCTGCGCGCTATCCCGAAGCGTTGTAGGTATTTCAGTAATGGATACGGAACGTTAAATTGGTAGGGGTTAAAGGTTGGTGTTTCTTAATTTTTTTTTAAATATAAGCAAACAATGCACGTTTTCTCTATACCTACACGCTATGTTCGCATCGTTAAGATGATGAACATTTTATTTTTGTAATTATTTGTCGGAGTTTTAATGCTTTTATGATAATTATGAGATGTACCACCACCCCCCCCTTCTCCCCTGCGTGTGAATGGCACGATCTGACAGGCAGGTCCCGCCAACACGTGATGGCGGGAACGCGTCTGCGTGCAGCTGCAGCATTCCACGTTGATATGGCCGGGCCCAGTACGTTATAACAATTGACCAATGTGTTGAGTTTAATATTTTAAAAAAATAATAATAATATCCATAGCTCAACCATTGGGTTTGTTTTAAGTTCAGTATTTTATTTTATTATTTTTATTAATTTTGATGTTTTACCTACGTGACTTTACCGAAAACACCTAAGAATATGATTCCTTGCAGTCACGAAAGCTTCAAGTCTAGAATTGCTTTAGGGTTTAGAGCAAAGGGCCAAAAAAACGCCAAACGGCCAGTAACAAACAAACACCATTGGCGTAATATATTTCACGTAAACAAAACGTGTCAATTCCGTGACGAAGGGGCCGTCCATAAATGACGTCACGCGATTTTGGACGATTTTTGACCTTCCCCCCCTTCGTCACACGACGTCACAAAAAGTCAGACCCCCCCCCCCTCAAATATGACGTCACAAAGCTCTGCCCCCCTACCCCCCCCCCCCCCCCAAAATAAAAAAATAAAACATGCTTCAAATCGCTTTAAATTATTGTCATTGTAGTGCGTATTTAGTGTGGCGCTGCACTCTGATGTTGTAGGAGAAAACATTTATTGAAAAGTCGATTTAATTAAGTAGAACGTGTTGTCTATATTTATTTAAAGTTGCACATTTTGATGTGACGTCACATTTATCAAACCCCCCCCTCCCTCGTCACACATCGTCACAAATGTCTGACCCCCTCCCCCACCCCTCCTAGGTGCGTGACGTCATTTATGGACGGCCCTAAACCTGATTGGTTTGCTGTGTCGGGTGGTGGCGGGCTACGACACATTTACACTTAGGCGATCTCACCCAAAAGCCCTCATTATGAGTAATGTCATATGTTGGTTAAAATGTATTTACCGTGTCGGTTTTCACAGCCACAATATTACTTCATTGGCAATTCGGCAGGAATTATACACAAGAACAAAAAATGGTTTCGATGTAAAGGGGCCGCCCATAAATGACGTCACGCACCTAGGTGGGGGGGGGGGGGTCAGACATTTGTGACGAAGGGGAGGGGGGGTTTGAAATGTGACGTCAGATAAAAATGCGCAACTTTAAATAAATATAGACAACACGTTCTACTTAATTAAATAGACTTTGTAATACATGTTTTCTCCTACATCATCAGAGTGCAGCGCCACATTAAATACGCACTACAATGACAATTGTTTAAAGCGATTTGAAGCATGTTTTTTTTGGGGGGGGGGGGCAGAGCTTTGTGACGTCATATCGGAGGGAGGGTCTGACTTTTTGTGACGCCGTGTGACGAGGGGGGGGGGGGTCAAAAATCGTCCAAAATCGCGTGACGTCATTTATGGACGCCCCCTAGGTGATTGAACGGGAACAGTCAAATATTACCCCCCCCCCTCCCCCCATCATCACTCGCCTCGTAATTTTCAACCCCTCACACCACCAATCTTGATCTTATTTTACATTTATAGAGGGTCTTTTGCTCAAGGCGCTTAACATCGTTTAAAAAAAACTGGTACAATATAAAAAATTGAATGGAAGGGGCATGGAAGGGATGACGAATGAGTGACTGCTATAGAGGGACAGTGTCATCATGAACAACAACAGCCGCTATTCGACACGAAGTAGCGGTGACGCCATTCACAGCGCTTGTGCCAGGTTAGGTGCACTCCGAGGCCACGTGAAGTGTCGAAGGCTCGCTGGGGCAGACCCAGGTGCCACGTGTCGACTGACTGAGACGACTGAGACGACTGGCTGATGCACCACCCGTGCCCTCTACTGCGCCAACTCGCTACGTTTTATCCGCCCCGCGCTCCGCTCGTTGTTGTGAGCGTCGCTCCTCCGCCCTCCGTTGTTGCTGGAGGGCGACTGCCTCCAACTGCCCAGTAGCAGCGTCCTTCACGAGCCTCCTACACAGCGGCCGATCTTGACACCACTGACTAACACTCATCGTTAAGTCCACTCAGCCTAACATCCTTCTGTGACCACATCAGTCCATCCCTTCTCCAGCCCGTGCCGCGTTTGTTCGGCCCCCTCTAATCGGCCAAACTGAAGCTACTTGGGCATGCCGTAGCTGCGTGGCTGGGACATGCGTCTACATCTGCAGAACGTGAAGAACCAGTGGCACCTACATCTGCAGAACGTGAAGAACCAGTGGCATCTACATCTGCAGAACATGAGGAACCAGTGGCACCTACATCTGCAGAACGTGAAGAACCAGTGACGTCTACATCTGCAGAACGTGAAGTACCAGTGGCACCTACATATGCAGAACGTGAAGAACCAGTGGCACCTACATCTGCAGAACGTGAAGAACCAGTGGCACCTACATCTGCAGAACATTAGGAACCAGTGACATCTACATCTGCAGAACATGATGTACCAGTGACATCTACATTTGCAGAACGTAAATAACCAGTGGCATCTACATCTGCAGAACTGGAAGAACCAGTGGCACCTACATCTGCAGAACATGAAGAACCAGTGGCATCTGCAGAACATGAAGAACCAGTGGCATCTACATGTGCAGAACGTGAAGAACCAGTGCCATCTTCATCTGCAGAACATGAAGAACCAGTGGCATCTACATCTCCAGAACATGAAGAACCAGTGGCATCTACATCTGCAGAACGTGAAGAACCAGTGGAATCTACATCTCCAGAACATGAAGAACCAGTGGCTTTTTTCCCTCCACATTTAGAAACACGCGTCTATAACACATTCCTGCGGAGGGAGCTGGAAGTAATGTTGGGTTGCTCGGTCAATGGCCTGCAGGGTCAACGGCGGCGTGGTGTATTCCGCAAATATGCCCGACTGTGAGGGCGGTCCCAAGCCGGCGTGAGTAGGTTAAACGTTGAGTTTTATAAGGGCACCACAGGGTGACTAGCCCCTCCCCACCCAGCCCCACCCCTCCCACCCCCCACCCAGCCCCACCCTCCCCACCAAGCCCCTCCCCACCCTCCCCACCCAGCCCCACCCCTCCCACCCCCCACCCAGCCCCACCCTCCCCACCAAGCCCCTCCCTACTCTCTCCACCCAGCCCCTCCCTGCACGACGGACACAATAATCCCCTGTGGGCTGGTGTAACCAGCAGGTTCCTACCAGTATAATTTAGACTATTTTGCTGCTGTCAATTTCTACACGATAAGCCTCTTTGCTGAGCTATCATTTGTGGCCAAGTCGCCTCTGAAAAAGACGTTAATAGCTCAGTGGAGTTTACCTGGTAAGATAAAAAAAAACGTAGTTTTATTTGTTTTAAATGATGTGTTTACCTTCCCTATACTTTGCACTCCTACCGTTTTTTTGTATTGTTGTTTTAACGTTCTGACCCTTGAAGCTCATCGAATTTCCCTCCAGTATAACTATATATATACTGATGATGTTTGTAAATATATACAGGCAGGCCTCGCTTAGCGCGACCTCGTAGAACACCGATTCTGATGAGGGCTCACCTCGCTCTACGAACGCATCTCGAGCGTTAAGCGAGGCCTGCCTGTACAGACCCCCGTCCTCGCGTCTACCCCGCCCCGCGATTCACATCAGCCAATCGCAGCCCTCCACAGCGTGCGTGGCTCCTCCCCCCCACCACGCACCAACTGTCGGCGTCACCGCCCTCCCCCCCATCCGGGCACTTCGTCCCTTTATCCGCGCGTGCGCACAACGAACGTCTCCTTGGACGGGCCCCTGTGGAGGTGAGGGGCCTGCGCGCTGGGCCCTCTTGCCACCCTCAACGGCCTCCGATGTCAATCCGTTCGCTTTCGTCCCAACTTCGCGGTCATCCGTCGTCGCGAACGTTCCGTCGCGACGCGTCGTCATCCCGCGCATCTCGCCGCCCGTTTATTTTTCGCCGATGTCGCCGCGTCTGCGTTTGCGCGATCGCTCTCTGTGCCGTAAAAAGGAGCCCCGCGTCCGATAGGCCCTGAATTTTGACCTCCATGTTTTGCCTTTGCCGCTTTTTCTCTTGCACTCTGGTACCCTGAACGCAGGTTTAAAGTCTATTTGCTTTGTCGTCGTCATCTTGATCAACCATGTACGCCTGCGCCAAGTTTGTCTCGACCCCGCTCTTGGTGAGTTAATTTGCAACATTTTAAGATCGAATCTGAGGCGATTTCCCGCGCCCCCCCCCCCACCCCTTTTCTCCATGTTAAGCCGGATGCCGCTCGCAGAGGGTAACGTGAAGGGGAATCAAAAATACATTTTTTAAATCGCCCGTTGTCAAGCTGATGATTGTTCTCCTAACAAAATCCAACCGATGCATGTATAGGCAACTACGTATGGTATAATCCGCTTGAGTGTTAATGTTTATACGGCTTTAATCGAAGGATGCGTGCGTAACCTTGCCGATTGTAATGGGCCCTAACTGCCTATTTTGCAACGCTGCTGCGAGATTTTAGCGTTGCTCGCAGTTTATATATTTTTTTGACGAAGCGTTGATGTTGCAGTAGAGTAGATTTTGTTTTGTTTTTATGCAATTAACTTAGGGTTTTTTGTTGCTAATCTTGGGTGGGGATAGTCCAATAGTGGTGGCGTTGCCGGCAGTATATTGCGACGCTAAGATTAAAGAGTCGAACATCACTTGCATTGTATATTTAATGTCATTTTACGAAGTACCGTATGCATATTGGATGTAATGTTTTAACCGTGTTTGTGGTCCCTTTTGTGTGTAAGTGTAATGTGCCCGGCGTAGTTTCGTGTCTTTTCGAACATGATGCGCCTTAACAATATAAATTGTCTTTAACATTTTAACGTGAGCACAAGTGTGCATGCATACATACAAAGTGTTTATATTGCATAATTTATGTTTAATGCGGTGTGTGTGTGTAATGTGAAATGTTTTCTAAAGTCTCCTACCCGGCGTACTTAAACCCGACTTTACATCGATATTTGCATATGCAAAAGTATGCAGGTGTGTGTGTGTGTGTACAACACGTACTTAATGAAACTAACTTAATTTAAACCAAACCTTCACCATTTCTTGCAGCTAATTGGTTTTTTTCTACCGCATTCTCGTAGTGCACAGCATCTGCTGCAGTATTACATAACAGCTGATCGTGGCGTGTGCTTGTAGTTGATTTTTTAGTTTTTCGATGGATATGGGTCACACCATTTCATTTTGTTCGCGACTTGGGTTTGTGTGAGTGTAGAAACAGCGGTGGATGGCCCTGGTTTAGTCGTAGAATTGTCCTTCGATTTGAAGGTCGTGATGACAGAGGAAGCGAATTCTCTTGGATAGCTACAGGCCTCAATACGTACAGGCGTCTAGGTGGCAGCACTGGGGTTTAGCGATAAGCATTGCTTAACCACTCACACTGCCAGTGAGTGATGCTCACCCTACCACTCGCCCATCATCACTCACCCACCCTACCACTCGTCCACCCTGCCGCTCACCCACCCTACCACTCGCCCATCCACCACTCATCCACCCTACCACTCACCCACCCCACCACTCACCCACCCCACCACTCACCCACCCCACCACTCACCCCACCACTCACCCCACCACTCACCCACCCCACCACTCACTCACCTATCCACAACTCACTCATCCACCACGCACCCACCCTACCACTCACCCACCCCACCACTCACTCACTCATCCACCACGCACCCACCCTACCACTCAGCCATCCACCACTCGCCCACCCTACCACTCGTCCACCCTACCACTCATCCACCCCACCACTCATCAGCATTTTCCAGCAAACTATACATTTTTTGGGACCGGTCGAATAATTAGTCATCCATACTCTTCAAATCAAAAATAGTCATCCAGCATTTTATCTTTTTATTTCACCGAGACATGAAATATAGACCCATCGATAAACGAGAAACACGTTGCCTCCTTTGCAACGAGCGACCCCCGTGTTACACGAAAGCTGTTTTTAAAAGTACAGATTAGTGTTCTCTATCATCGTGAACAGGTGTTTAATCCACTGCTGGGTGATATTGCACTGTGTAATGTATACAACGTGCACTACATTTATACAATATGCCACTACTGTCAATGCAATATACTGTATCACAATAATTTCCTCATCATCATGGTCAATCCCACTGCTGGGCCAAAGGCCTCCCCAAAAGTCCCCGCCACACCTGCTTTGTAGCAATCCACGCAAGTCGGATTACATCACTCCATCTCCGCTCTGGACGCCTGCTCAACGCCTCGACTGTCGCTTATTCGCTGACGCGTCTTGACCCAAGGCCATCTCTCCCAATAGAGTTTTATCATGAACTTTGGCGTGTTCTCTAATCTGTGCATTTTCCTCTTTCTTTCCACCATTTTCAGAAATAGTAGGAACTGTCATTTGGTAAATACATGCGTCATCTTAGAAAAATGTATTCGTTTAGGACAAAGTGGATTTAGTTCTAAGTCGCATTAACTTGTGCGTGAACAGATTTTATGTAATCGGAGGCCCTTTAACATTCGTAGAAAACTCTGAAATAAATGCACTGAACAAAGCACGCAAAGACGATAGTAGTGGCTGGTAAAGTGAAAATAATGAAAAGTTTGGAAAACTAAAATTACCTTAATGTTTTTGTTACGTTTGGTAACCTTCACTTTTTAGCTACGTGACCTACAAATGACCCTCAGATTATGGAGTAATGTACATTCCTGTACATGACAGTTTAATAAATAAAACGGTGTAGTTACGCTTTCAGTACGTTCTCCAAACCCGTTTTTACCTGAATTCTCTACGCCGTGTCCTTTCTCAAAGACGTCGGCGATCGTGGCCTTCCTTCCATGTAGCTCTCCGTGATATTTATTCAACAACTTGTTGATCTATGGGCAATACTAAGTCTAGTATGTGCTGTGGCGTGATGTTAGCTCCCTCGCCTGGTATACAGGAGGTCTCTCATCATCACGGTGGCTAGGAGATGTTAACTACCTCACCTGGTATACAGGAGGTCGTGGCTTCGATTCCAACCCTGACGCATGCTGTATATTTGAAGTTTTCGTGTCCCTCCCCGTGGTTGCGTGGATTTTTCTTCGGGTCCTCCGATTTTCCCCTCCACATTTTAAAATCAATGTGCGTTTAGAGTATTTGGCTGCTATAAATTAATTGAGCTATCATTTGTGGCCAGGTCGCTTATGATTTTTTAACCTGTAAAAACAAAGTTTTTCACTAAATCCTTTATATGCGTGGCATCGGGGCGGCTAGAGTCCTCTCATCCTCTGGCTTGAGATGGCTGCCACCTATGGGTCAGATGATTGTCTGCCACCATTAAACAATTGGTAATTAAATATTTAATACATTTTCCCTAAACGGTGTAAAATTTTGGAAAATGCATTGTCACGCACAACGAGTCTGTGCAAAATGTCAGCTCGATTGGATCACGGGAAGTGGGTTAAAAAACGACGAAAGATTTGCACGGTCCTAAGCAAGCAAGCAAGCGAACTTAATATAAAGGATTTAAAAATAGCTCAAGCTGCATGGGCCTTACCTAGAAACACATTCCTGCGGAGGGAGCTGGAAGTAATGTTGGGTTGCTCGGTCAATGGCCTGCAGGGTCAACGGCGGCGTGGTGTATTCCGCAAATATGCCCGACTGTGAGGGCGGTCCCAAGCCGGCGTGAGTAGGTTAAACGTTGAGTTTTATAAGGGCACCACGGGGTGACCAGCCCCTCTCCACCCTCCCCACTCTCCCCACCCAGCCCCTCCCTGCACGATGGACAGACACAATAATCCCCTGTGGGCTGGTGTAACCAGGAGGTTCCTACCAGTAAAATAGTTTAGTTTAAACAAAAAGTCCACGCAACAACGGGGAGAGAGACGCAAACTCCAAATATTCAGGCGGCGGGGTTTGGATCAAACCCACGACCCTTGCATACTAGGCGAGGGAGTTAACGTCTCGTCACCGTGGCGATTTCCCCCAGCCATCCGTGCTGTCGACTCCCTGTCCCTGTTGTAAACGTCCATGGCTGCCACTTGTCGTCTGCTGGACCGCGACCGGCGGGCGTGCAGGTAGCAGCACTCTCCTCCCCACCCCCGTGAGTTCCACTCATCCTTCTCCACGTGGGGTCAAGGCCATGTCGGTGTCTGTGGCGATGACGGTGATGACTATGACGACGCTCGGTCGAGGAGCACGCAGTTTCTCCTGCTCTAACCGTCGCCATCTTCTCGCCCGCAGGTCCGCGCCGGAGCCCGGGCGGTCCTTCGGCCAATCTCCGCGTCGTCCTTCACCAGGACAGACGTCAAGGGGGAGCAGGTAACGTCCTTCCGTTTTAACTTGATGAATTTGAGAAGCAACGGACCGGGTTTAGTTTTTGTACGTATGTTGAATTTCTTCCGCACCACATTTAGCCAACCATGGTAATTGTAGGTGCGAAGGAAGGACAGAAAACTAAACACAACATTTCGATTTAAAGCTTTCGTGACTGCAGGGATTCATCTTCTTGATTCTTTCGGTAAAGTCACGTAGAAGGGAAGTAATAAAATAATAAAAATGAAACGTAATAAAATAATTCTCACGACGTTTCGGCCACAACGCAAGCAGCCGTCCTCAGGGAGACCTGGTCTTCACCTGAGGACGGCTGCTTGCGTTATGGCCGAAACGTTGTGAGAATTATTTTATTATGTTTTATTATTTTATTATTTCCCTTCTACGTGACTTTACCGAAAGAACCAAGAAAATAAACACAACATTTCTAAAGATTTTTTTTTTAACTGTTTGAGTTTGCACGAAGCCATTTCATGGTGTGTGGTGGGGGGGATCGCCGGACAGATTCCATTTTTCTTTGAAAGCACAGGTGGGGGCTGATGGGTGACGTAAGCGGTGGGTTACACGTCACCACAGTGACAATTAGACTCGTTGACTCCTATAGACTTGAGCAGGGACACCTGTCGACTGACACAGATCCGGTCGGTCAGACTCGCACAGAGACCCATAGACTCACGCAGTTACTAATCGACTCAACGTTGACATCCATAGATACGCACACAGATCCGTAGACTAATTTTAGAGACCCGTACTCTACAATACGATGTGAGCGGTGGATTACACTTTCGCTACGTTCACGGTTAGAATTGCATTGATTCAAACATAGACACAGACTCGCGCAGAAGCCAATAGACTCGTGTTGAGACCTACAGATCCGCACACACGCAGAGACCCATACTATGCAATACAATGTGATGCGAGTGATAGATTACACTGTACCACAGTCAGTTTGGCCATGACTCCTTATTTCCCCACTCATTCATGAGAAATCTGCTCCCCCACCGTACGGTTGGCTACGTACGGTGCAAAAGAAGTTGCATTTTTTGTTCTTTAATGAGGACCCCCGAGTAATTGTTTACAAAAGTATTTTGTAATTAGTTTTTGTCAAATTATTAACTTGATAACTTCATCAACCATTCATTCGTCTTAGCTCGAGATGCAATGATTTCCCTCCACCCCCCACCAGCCTCTAGTAGCAGTAGAGGCTCGGTGTGGACTTGTTCCCGTGGAACATCGTGCCTCAATCTAAAAGCCTCGGTTCTCGCGCACGCCGTTCTATGCTGTGGCAGAATAAGCTTGACAATTTACGGCGGTGTTCGTCATTGCAAGGCCCGCGGGCCACCAGCGACCAAAGGTCGCAAACGGGTTTTTATTTCTTACCCGTACCCGGCCGCACCAGGGTCGCAAACGGGTACCCTACCCGTACCCTACCCGTACCCTACCCGTACCCGGCCGGGTACGGGAAGGGTACGGGTATCGGGTACCTGATTGCGACCTCTGGGATGGAGCCATGTTGCAGGCATGGGTGGGTTGATTCTAGGAACTTGAATTGTGAGAAGAGACAAGACGTTGGGAAATGAGTGACAAACAGTTACTCACCAGTAACTCACGGTCTACCCGTACCCGTACCCGGCCGCACCAGGGTCGCAAACGGATACCCGTACCCTACCCGTACCCTACCCGTACCCGGCCGGGTACGGGTATCGGGTACCTGATTGCGACCTCTGGGATTAAGCCATGTTGCAGGCGCGGGTGGGTTGATTCTAGGAACTTAAATTGTGAGAAGAGACAAGACGTTGGGAAATGAGTGACAAACAGTTACTCACCAGTAACTCGCGGTCTACCCGTACCCGGCCGCACCAAGGTCGCAAACGGGTACCCGTACCCGGCCGGGTATCGGGTAGGGTACGGGTATCGGGTACCCGGTTGCGACCTCTGCCGGTGGCCTCTGGTGGCCTTTAGGGCGGCTTCTCACTACACACGTGAAAACACCCCCCATTTCCGTGCTGTCAAACCACAATGGTTTCTAATGCTGGTGATGTCTTATCGGCGAAAGTGGGCCCCCCCCACCGAAAATAAGTGAACACGGGCCTATGGTGTTTGGTATTCGCACCATTCTTTTAGCGGGAGGCTAACCAGGAAGGCGCCGTGTTTCACAGACAGGTCCGCATTAGTTTCACAATATACACACTTGACACACACAGTACACAATTGAAACTGCTTTGTGCAGCTTCAATTGTGTCCTTTGCAGATGTTCAAATTGGCTACATTTGAGACGGTGGCGTGGGCACAGTTTGCCGACTCTTTGAGTATTGCGTCGCAGGATCTCTTAATGCCCAAACAGCGCGACGTTCATGCTGCTTCATCCGTCCGTTCCTGTGTTTGTCCATCACATCTACCTGTGTCTGCCCGTCCATTTGCCCAAGTATCTCTCTGTCCATTAGTCTGTTTGCATTTCCCCTATCCTTTTGCTCGTTGGGAATATCACGTGAACATTTATTCCGATCGCAGATGGTCGTTCAACTTCTCAATTACAGCCACGGCCGCCTGTATCAACACCAACTAACTTTTATCAATAATGTAACAAAATTACAGCCCACCTCTCCTCTCTCGCTGTCCTCTGTCCCGAGCTTAGTAACTCTCCTTGTCTTCCTCTCTTATGGGCCTCCTCCACCCCCACCCCATACATCTGGCCTGTACCCCCCCCCCCCCCCACCACCGGAACTACCTTCGTAGCTACCTGCCTCGTCTCTTTCCCTACCCCCCCCCCATTACTCTATGTCCATCTATCCCTTACTGTGCCATCGTTTGTCCGTACGCTTGTGTATGCATCATTTCGTTTGTGCATCCGTCCCATCAAACCGCATGGCTGTCCTGTCCTTAGTCCGTCTTTCCATTCGTGTGTCCGATCATCAGTTCGCCCATTTGCCTGTCTGCCCTGTGTTTGTCATCAGCCTGTACGTGTGTCTTCGAATCGATTCTTTTCTTCCCGTATCTGTCTGCATGCCCGCCCGTCAGTCCGCATGTCTTTGCCTTTGTAACCATCCCCTCCCGCCCACATCGCTCTGTGGCCCCCCATCTCTCTCTCCACCTCTGTTGGCAGGCGAGCTCCATGGTGCCAGCGCCATCCGGACTGGCGCTGGTGGCGCGCCGTGACTTCCAGACGAGCGCGGTGTCGCGCGACATCGACACGGCCGCCAAGTTCATCGGCGCCGGCGCCGCCACAGTGGGGGTGGCCGGATCGGGCGCCGGTATCGGGACCGTCTTCGGCAGCCTCATCATTGGCTACGCCAGGTACGAGCCCCCGCTAAAGCTGTCGTCATTGCCATCCCCTTCATCGTCATGGGAAAGCGTTTTACACTTGGCAGACTGCGTCGGTAGCGATGATGCACAAGTGCCGATTTAAACCAAACTCGGCTCCTTAATCCACATTACATTAAAAAGATAAAATATAGACTGACGATTCAGGAATTGGTCCTACGGGGGAGATGCCGCTGGAGTTCTCCTGCGGTGAGTAACGACGTCTTTAAAAACAACGTCGCTACCCCTCTGTAAACAAAATGAACACCGAGCCACTTGCTTGCGTTCCGAGATTCGGCGGTGAAGGGGAACGCCCACCGTGCAACTTGGCAGACGTCTTTGAAAGGGTTGATGCAGCAAAGGCTCGCTGTTATCCAGCACTTTACCATCCGCAATGCTCTATTAACCGGTGGAGAAAAAATTCCGACAGCCATCCGGCATTTTGCCGTGCGCTTATCGTAGATGCGTTGTTAAGCTTCAGGATTCTGCCGAGTGGTGGCGTTAGCAGCAGTCCGTACGTACATTACTGTACTACTGTATACTGTACTCTAAATGGCTCCACTGCTTCTCTAGAATCAACTTGGAATGCTCTACAACTGACGGAGTTCTTTCGTGAAAATTGTTATGTACAGTGTTACCTCGGTATACATCGTTAATTCGTTCCAGAAGGTAGGACTTATGCCGAAAATGACGTGTACCAAAGGAAATAATCCGTTCCAGAGTATAAGAAATGATATTTTATATGGCATATTATACATTAATGGGGTTGTATAAAATAATTTAGACGCTACTCATTACTAAAATTATACATTTTAAAATAAATGCATAAATAAATTAAAATTAATTGAAATAAAATTTAATGTCACTTTACCTTGCTGAGAGGAGGAGGAGGATATGCTATTTTTTGGAAGGCGAGTCCCCTTCCATTAAAACTACTGCACAGGCAGACTGAGGAGCGGCGCTTTGTTTCGGTCGTGAACGGGGTCTACGCGGGTACGCGGTGACTCATCCAGACCCATACAAGTTCTAGCAAGCGCGTCGTATCCCAAAGCAAGACGTTGTATCCCAAGAAATGTTTTTCTCGTCAAAACACGACGTATACCAAATTCGACGTATTCCAAAGCTGTATTTGGAAAATTTGGTGAACCACAAGTAACATCTCTGATAACCGGCATGTCCATGGATATGCCGGATAACGGAGCTTCTGCTGTGTAGACAAAAAACGGTGATTGCCACGCATCGATAACAACTTCCTTTGGATGTGCTATGAAGGACCATCACAAAAATGTCAATTTTATATATATAAAAAAAATATTTTAATGCAGTGTTGACGAATGAGGGTTTTATTTATTGTTTGCAGTGCTTGTGCGCCACTACCAATGGAGCATCGCCAATTAATTACCTTTTGAATGTAGATAATAATTTACATTTGTAAAGTGGTGCATTTCACCTGTACATCTCACCAATGCGCCACCGTGTATGGAAGGCCAGCAAATAAATGGAACCGGCACAGGATAAACGGCCAGAACTCGTGGGGGGTGAAAGACAATTTACTCACTCGCCCACCCACCCACTCAGACCCAGGGTAAACGTTCAGAACTAGTGGGGGGGTAAAGGCCACTTTACCCACTCGCCCACCGACTCACTCCATCGCCTACTCGCCCACCCACCTACTCACCCCCCCCCCCCGCCACCTACGCACCACTCGCCCATAACCTGCAGGGTAAACGGCCAGAACAATTTGGGGAGGTAAAGGCCAATCTATAGAGGTGAGTTTTCAAGACGGCACTGAAATATATCTGCTAACGACTCGGATTGTGTTCATTAGCAAAGGCAAAGCATTTCAAAGCTTGGGAGCCGCACTGGAAAAAAATTAACCCGTAAAAGCAAAGTTTTTCACTATAAATCCTTTATATGCGTGGCATCGGTTTTATTTTATTATTCATTTCTGTTTTTCTTAAGTAAGAGTTTCATTTTTATCGCATTGGTATTTTAAATTAAATATGAAATTTTTTTTTTTTTCACGAAAATAAATTGTCACGCACAACGAGTCTTGTGTGCAAAAAGTCAGCTCGATTGGATCACGGGAAGTGGGTTAAAAAACGACCGAAAGATTTGCACGGTCGTAAGCGCGCAAGCAAGTGAACTTAATATAAAGGATTTAAAAAGCCCGGTCACCCCAGGAGCAGAGCAGATCTGAAGGTCTCTGAGGCCTCGGATTATCACGATGGATTAGTTCCTGTAAATGTCACGAGGCTAACCCAGCACGGCCACCAGAGGGCAGCCGTGACATGCCGGTGGTGTTGGTGATGGGCAAAAGCAGTTTGCAATGCTTGAGACAACTCGCGCATTGCAGGTTTAGTCGAGGTTAAAGTGACCGTCGGGTCCCGCGTTATTTATTTTAATGCACATTTTTGGTTGTTCCACTTATTAGCGCCTCTTAATGCTGTTATCGGCTACTCCTCTACGCGACCTGCAACAAACGGCACCGTTAAACCTTCTCGGTTCTTTCGGTAAAGCCACGTAGAAGGGAAATAATAAATATATTCTATTATTTTATGTTTTATTTCAATTATTTCCCTTCTACGTGACTCTACCGAAAGAACCAAGAAGATGAATCCCTGCAGTCACGAAATCTTTAAATCGAAATTTTGCACCATTAAAGTTATAATGGATGATCGTTAATGGTACATTACTAGAATTAAGCAAGGTTATTGTGAGAACTTGGAAGAATAAAGCATTTGACGGAATAAGGAAGTTGAGCAGTTTTGGTGGTTAAAGATTGTGGATTAAACTCGTCGATTGGTTTGATTGACCCGAGTCCTTGGCATGGGTGGAGGAATCGGCGATTGAAGTTCACGGGAACGGCGACCACGATAGTAGCGACAGGAGAGTGATAAGGAGGCGACTGGCCATTGGTGAGCCCAGTGACGTTGAGTGATGATTCGCTCACTGCTGAATCCTCAATCAACCTCGAATGCTTTTACGTTGAATTCTATGAAGGTGCAGTTCAGTAGGGAGTTATTTTCGTTAGAATTCATTAATTATGACATAAGGGGCGCAAATTGGACTTCAAAAGGGTATTCGAGAGACTCGTTTCATATCGATTGTGTTGCAATCACTCAGTGTTTTATGGCAGGCTTGTGCTGAGTAAACTGCAGATTGAAGGATGCTCCAGTCATCTTTATTGGAACTTCAAAATTTCTCCTGCACGGTGTTGATAAAAATGTTTTTGTGTGTTTTTAGTTGTCCCCTTCCCCCGCACCTCCGATCAACACGGTTGGCTACGTACGGTGGCGCCAGAATGTCAAATGCATGCGCACAATTGCACTCGAAGTAGAGAAAATCGTGGAAATAAAAAAAAATTACAATACTGACTCCGAACGCTGTTTGCCTCGCAGAAACCCGTCTCTGAAGCAGCAGCTCTTCTCCTACGCCATCCTGGGCTTCGCGTTGTCCGAGGCCATGGGGCTCTTCTGTCTCATGGTGGCTTTCCTCATCCTGTTCGCCATGTGAAACTCCCCCTGGGTGGCGGGCCCCGGCGGTGGTGGTGGGGGTGGATGGGTGCACCTGATGGCGAGAGAAGGCGGGGGGGGGGGGGAGAGGCGAGGAGGCAGCTGCTCTTGCACAACGTTGAAGAACTCCGCACACAAACCCCTGTTCTAGTCCTTATTTACGTTTTTCCTCGATTTTCTCACCGGCACCAAAGCAATCCCCGTTGGCCTGGCTGGCGGGTGTTGTAATCGCGGCCCTTCCCGTAGTTTTGATTGAATGGTTGTTGCAGACGTGCGAGCTTTCGGCTTGGTAGTATCGTACGTTCAGAACAAAACAGACGACGCATCCTGTACGTACACCGGTGGCTCTTAACCTTCGTGTGGGTGGTATGGCGCTTAGGCTACCTCGCCCACAATACACGGACGGATCTCACGTTCTGGGCCTCCAGTCAACGTGATGTTTGTAAGCCAATCGTTTCGCCGCCGTGTATCCGTGCGTCTCGTTGCGCCGACATCGTCCCCCCCCCCCATCACCACCAACCGCGCACATTCAAAATTACTCTTGCACGGTGTCCATGCAGCAGTCTGAAAGGCTTTCTTGAGCTTCCTCCGGCAAGGGGGGGGGGGGGTTGGTCGGGGGCATGCGACTCGCGGGTTTAGAACTGCCGTCTCGAAGAAGTGCGTCGTACCAGTGACTACTGAGTGGGGGGGATAATGGGGTGCGATGAAAATAAAAATGTGTTTTTCGCGGAAAAAAATAAATCGATAGTCGGGATGAAGCTCTTCACGTCCGCGCGATTGCGTCTGCCTCCATGAGGATGTGAGGGCGTGTTAATGCCCTCGTGTCCGTGTACTGTACAGCTAATTGGTCGGACTGCACTTGAAATGTACGTTCATTTCTAGAAACTGGTTTCTCGCCCAAATAAAGGTAATGTCCGGAAAAATGTGCGCAGACGTCCCTCTGTTCTGCGTGGCGGGGTCGGTGGGCAAGGGTGGAGTGGTGGGGGCAGCTGTGGAGGGGGGAGCTCTTCCCATGCTTTGGCTTACGGATGAGCTCTGGTTGGCAGCGGAGGTTTCGCTTCAAATCGATTGTCGGCAAGATTTTTCTTTCATCGGCAACGCGACGTGGAAGCAATCTGGCCTGTCGCTCCACACGAAGCGCCGGGTCTTCTCGGCCACAAGTTCTACCCTCCCTGTTTCTATGGTTGTTGAACTTTAATCACATTTTACAGGAACACCTGCGCACCGGCTTAGGTTTAACCAGATTGGATTGCGCGAGGAACTGATCATTCCACATATCTGGACGCAGTCCCATCCGTGTGTGAGCTCCTCTGGCAGGCAAGGCTTGTTTTGGCTGTAACGTGTAGCCCACATCTCCCAGTCACTGAATGCCCAAGCAGATGTTCGGTTGGATAGAGGGGGCGAGGAGATGAGCCGCTGATGCGCTACAGAAGGATGTGGAGCAGAGTGGACTTGGTGCCAGCGGTGTCAAGATCGGCCTCTGGGGGAGGCTCGTGAAGAATGATGCTGCTGGAATGTTGAGATGCAAATTTCGATTTAAAGCTTTCGTGACTGCAGGGATTCATCTTCTTGGTTCTTTCGGTAAAGTCAGCGTAGAATGGAAATAAAAAATTAATAAACATAATAAAATATAATTAAATTTAGATTTAAAGCTTTCGTGACTGCAGGGATTCATCTTGGTTCTTTCGGTAAAGTCGCGTAGAATGGAATAATAAAATAATGAAAATAAAGCAATTATTTGATTGTTTTATTTTTATTTATTATTTCCTTTACCGAAAGAACCAAGATGTTGAGATGCAGTCTCCTGCCCAAGGGGTGGGGCATTACTTTCAAGGGGGCGTAAAATATGGGCGGGGCTTAACCGCCAAATTTGGCGGGACTATCGTCACCGTAGCCGCACCCTCTTCTGATTGGGCGCTTGGGAAGAGTAGGCGTGGCCAGCGCCGCAGTGGGCCCCGCCCACTCGATATCGTCGCTCTTTGATTGGTTGCCCACGCAGCCCGGTGGGCGGGGCGTTGATGACGCGCGCGCCCACACACATTCCACGTTATGACTTATTGAATGATATTCTAGCCTATTACTCAACAGCTACTGCCAACTTAACTTCATTCGGATGAAAAAAATTTAAATGATCATCCGGCATTACCCAACACCCGACTCGCGCTCTCTCTCTCTCTTTTATACATTTGTGCTATGAAAAAGGCTCATTGCCCGAAACGTCGCCTATTATACAGTAGTCTACAGTTTTAATTTGTAACAACCGCCATTCGCCACTAAGTGGCGGTGACGTCACCAGGGCGCTCGTACCAGGCTAGGTGCACGTTAAGGCCACGTGAAGTGTCGAACGCCCGCCGGCAGGAGGTCACGGGACAGACCCAAGCAGGTGCCACGGGTCGACTGACTCAAGATGACCGGTAGATGCACCACCAGCTGTATCCCCTACTGTGCCAGGCTAGGTGCAGCAGGAGGTCACGGGGCAGACCCAGCAGGTGCCACGGGTCGACTGACTGAGATGACTGGCTGATGCACCACCAGCTGTACCCTCTACTGTGCCAGGCTAGGTGCAGCAGGAGGTCACGGGTCGACTGAGATGACCGGTAGATGCACCACCAGCTGTATCCCCTACTGTGCCAGGCTAGGTGCAGCAGGAGGTCACGGGTCGACTGACTGAGATGACCGGTAGATGCACCACCTGTGCCCCCGTGCCTGTGCCAAGTTGCTGTGATAAAACACACAAACAAAAACAACACGCACAACACACAAACAACGCACGCCCTCCTGCGGAGGGAGCTGGTAGGAACGTCGGGTTGCTCGGTCAACGGCCTGCAGGGTCAACGGCGGCGTGGTGTATTCTGCAAATATGCCCGACTGTGAGGGCGGGCACCACGGGGTGACCAGCCCCTCCCCACCCAGCCCCTCCCCACCCAGCCCCTCCCCACCCAGCCCCTCCCCACCCAGCCCCTCCCCACCCTGCCCCTCCCCACCCAGCCCCTCCCCACCCAGCCCCACCCCTCCCACCTCCCACCCAGCCCCTCCCCACCCTCCCCTCCCCACGCAGCCCCACCCTTCCCACCTAGCCCCTCCCCACGCAGCCCCACCCAGCCCCTCCCCACCCTGCCCCTCCCCACCCAGCTCCACCCTTCCCACCCCCCACGCAGCCCCACCCTTCCCACCCAGCCCCTCCCCACCCTCCCCTCCCCACGCAGCCCCACCCTTCCCACCTAGCCCCTCCCCACGCAGCCCCACCCAGCCCCTCCCCACCCAGCCCCACCCTTCCCACCCCCCACGCAGCCCCACCCTTCCCACCCAGCCCCTCCCCACCCTGCCCCTCCCCACCCTGCCCCTTCCCACCCCCCACGCAGCCCCACCCTTCCCACCTAGCCCCTCCCCACGCAGCCCCTCCCCACCCAGCCCCTCCCCACGCAGCCCCTCCCCACGCAGCCCCTCCCCACCCAGCCCCCCCCCACCCAGCCCTCTCCCTCCACGGACGGACGGACACACACAATAATCCCCTGTGGGCTGGTTCCCCCACCCCCCCGTACCTACCGGCATTAATTAATTAATTAATGAATTCGCGTCGCGGGAAGTTGTCGCTGGCGCGCGCTGGCTGTGTGTGTGTGTGTGCTGTTGGGCGGATGTGACGTCACGGCGGCGGGGTGGGGGTGGGTGGAGGGGTTGGCGCGCGCTGGCTGTGTGTGTGTGTGCTGTTGGGCGGATGTGACGTCACGGCGGCGGGGTGGGGGGAGGGGTTGGCGCGCGCTGGCTGTGTGTGTGTGCTGTTGGGCGGATGTGACGTCACGGCGGCGGGGTACAGCGGGGTGGGGGGTGGGTGGAGGGGTTGGCGCGCGCGCCAGTCGCCTTGTTTACTCGCCGCCGCGCCGCGCTCGAGTGAGGTAAGCGCCAGGAGCTCCGCCCCGATAAAGTAGTTCACTAAAAACGGCCGAAACTTCTTAAAACTTTATCAAACTTTCGCTGTTTTTTTTTTTTTTAAAACATCGCGTACGTTAAAAGTAAATTAGCGTCACGTTTTCCTACGGGAAAAGCTGGTGGCGGTCGTTTTAATTGTACGCGACGATGTTAGCCGCGTGATTGAGTTAATTTTTTTTATTATTCCCGTTGTGATGTTTTAATTTTAGCCCTGTGGGGTTTCCCCCCCCCCCCCCCCCCCCGGTAACTGTTAATTAGTTATTATTTCATTACATTGACATGTTTAACACACTTTCATAACGTGTACATTCCCATCGCGGTGTTTAAAGTCTGCCTGGTATTTTACGTTGCTATCAAGTTCACTTACAGTAAAAGTTACTTTTTCATACTTTTAAGATTTTTGTTTTTAAATAACGGAAATTATTTCTTTAGTTAGTTTTTTTCCACGCGACGTGTGTTTCTTCTTAAACGAGAGTTTGTGTTTAAAGATTGTCTCCATTCCTAGCCGTGTGTATTCTGTATATACTAACCCCCTCCACGTGTTTTGAGTACTGTATGTGTACACGTGTGTACACGTGTGTGTACTTGTGTACACGTGCGCGTACACGTGTGTACTTGTGTACACGTGTGTGTACTTGTGTGTACTTGTGTACACGTGTGTGTACTTGTGTACACGTGTGTGTACTTGTGTGTGTACTTGTGTGTGTGTGCCTGTGTACGCTTGTGTATTTGTGTACACGTGTGTGTACTTGTGTACACGTGTGTGTACTTGTGTGTATTTGTGTACACGTGTATAACTGTGTACTTGTGTGTGCCTGTGTACGCTTGTGTATTTGTGTACACGTCTATAATTGTGTACTTGTGTGTTTGTGCCTGTGTACGCTTGTGTATTTGTGTACACGTGTGTGTACTTGTATACACGTGTGTACTTGTGTGTATTTGTGTACACGTGTATAACTGTGTACTTGTGTGTGCCTGTGTACGCTTGTGTATTTGTGTACACGTGTATAATTGTGTACTTGTGTGTGTACTTGTGTGTTTGTGCCTGTGTACGCTTGTGTATTTGTGTACACGTGTGTGTACTTGTGTACACGTGTGTGTACTTGTGTGTATTTGTGTACACGTGTATAACTGTGTACTTGTGTGTGCCTGTGTACGCTTGTGTATTTGTGTACACGTGTATAATTGTGTACTTGTGTGTGTACTTGTGTGTGTACTTGTGTGTGTACTTGTGTGTATTTGTGTACACGTGTATAACTGTACTTGTGTGTGCCTGTGTACGCTTGTGTATTTGTGTACACGTGTATAATTGTGTACTTGTGTGTGTGTGCCTGTGCACGCTTGTGTATTTGTGTACACGTGTATAATTGTGTACGTGTGTGTGTGTGCCTGTGTACGCTTGTGTATTTGTGTGTAATTGTGTACGCGTGTGTAACTGTGTAAGCGTGTGTACTAACCTGTACACTTGCACGGACATTGTGCACAAGTGTCTACGCCCTTGTGTATAGTGTAGTAGAGTGTGTACGTGTGCGTAGCGGTGTGTACCTCGCACACTGGCTGACACGCGCCAATACAGTTGGGGTGTACAGGTGTGTGTGTGTAAGTGTGATTGTGTAAGTGTTGTGTACAGGTGTGTGTGTGTAAGTGTTGTGTACAGGTGTGTGTAAGTGTGTAAGTGTTGTGTACAGGTGTGTGTAAGTGTGATTGTGTAAGTGGTGTGTACAGGTGTGTGTGTGTAAGTGTTGTGTACAGGTGTGTGTAAGTGTGTAAGTGGTGTGTGTAAGTGTTGTGTACAGGTGTGTGTGTAAGTGTTGTGTACAGGTGTGTGTAAGTGTTGTGTACAGGTGTGTGTAAGTGTGTAAGTGTTGTGTACAGGTGTGTGTGTAAGTGTTGTGTACAGGTGTGTGTAAGTGTTGTGTACAGGTGTGTGTAAGTGTGTAAGTGTTGTGTACAGGTGTGTGTGTAAGTGTTGTGTACAGGTGTGTGTAAGTGTTGTGTACAGGTGTGTGTAAGTGTTGTGTACAGGTGTGTGTGTAAGTGTTGTGTACAGGTGTGTGTGTAAGTGTTGTGTACAGGTGTGTGTAAGTGTTGTGTACAGGTGTGTGTAAGTGTGTAAGTGTTGTGTACAGGTGTGTGTAAGTGTGTAAGTGGTGTGTGTAAGTGTTGTGTACAGGTGTGTGTGTAAGTGTTGTGTACAGGTGTGTGTGTAAGTGTGATTGTGTAAGTGGTGTGTACAGGTGTGTGTGTAAGTGTGATTGTGTAAGTGTTGTGTACAGGTGTGTGTAAGTGTGGTGTACAGGTGTGTGTAAGTGTGTAAGTATTGTGTACAGGTGTGTGTGTAGTTGTGTAAGTGGTGTGTGTAAGTGTTGTGTACAGGTGTGTGTGTAATTGTGTAAGTGGTGTGTACAAGTGTGTACAGGTGTGTGTAAGTGTGTGTAAGTGTGTATAGGTGTGTGTGTAAGTGTTGTGTATAGGTGTGTGTGTAAGTGGTGTGTACAGGTGTGTGTGTGATTGTGTAAGTGTGGTGTACAGGTGTGTGTAAGTGCTGTGTACAGGTGTGTAAGTGTGTAAGTTTTGTGTACATGTGTGTGTGTGTAAGTGTTGTGTAAAGGTGTGTGCGTGTAAGTGGTGTGTACAGGTGTGTGTGTGTGATTGTGTAAGTGTTGTGTATAGGTGTGTGTGTGTGGTTGTCATAGGTGCTCGCTAACAGCACTTGCCCCTACAGTCTGCTAAGCCTATATGGGGGATCTTTGTCTTTGTACGGTTGTGTGTGGTGCGTTTGCATAAAGCACTTGCGTGTAGGAGTGCAGTAGACGCATCTGTGTCAATGTTCATTAACAGCGTGAACTTTTTATACGACCGGCTTGCATCCTAAGATGTGCACAAAGCTTTAAGCCTCCAGCTGGTTTCACCTTCAACAAGTACAGATGTTTCATAATGCTTTATTTGTATAAAGTCTACACACTTGTGTACGTCTTACTAAACGTACACGACCATTATTCAACAATACATTACATCCGGACCATATCGGTTCCCTTAAAAACTTGATTTGCACCAACACCGCCTCTGATATCGCAAGCCACCACCAATAATACGCTAATAGCCGTGGACGAGAGTCGAACCCATGCCGGGCTGGGTTTATAAGTGCTGTAGCTAATCGGTGGGCTATGAGTGTCCACCCTCTCTCTGTGTGTGCTGTGTATGTGGGGGGAGCGGTGGTGTAGTGGTTAGCGCACTTGCGCTACGAACACCGCTCACGGCCAACATCGGTGACGATTGTCTAATCCAGGTCTTGGGCCTCCCTTGGGACGACTCGGCCTCAAATTAATACCCGGTGCGGTGTAGTAAACATTGTCACTGGGGAGACAAAGGCGGCCGGGCGTGGTTTCTGTGCCACCCACCCCTTCGTGTGCCGTGCCGGCCTTCATAGGTGCTGCTACTCGCTAACAGCACTTGCCCCTACAGTCTGTTACAGGCTACACGGGGGATCTTTGTGCATTGTAGGGGGCACAGGTGGTGCATCGGCTGGTCATCTCAGTCAGTCGACCCGTGACCTCCTGCTGCACCTAGCCTGGCACGGTAGAGGGTACAGCTGGTGGTGCATCTACCGGTCATCTCAGTCGACCCGTGACCTCCTGCTGCACCTAGCCTGGCACAGTAGAGGGTACAGCTGGTGGTGCATCAGCCAGTCATCTCAGTCAGTCGACCCGTGGCACCTGCTGGGTCTGCCCCGTGACCTCCTGCTGCACCTAGCCTGGCACAATAGAGGGTACAGCTGGTGGTGCATCTACCGGTCATCTCAGTCAGTCGACCCATGGCACCTGCTGGGTCTGTCCCGTGACCTGTTGCACCTAGCCTGGTACAGTAGAGGGTACAGCTGGTGGTGCATCAGCCAGTCATCTCAGTCAGTCGACCCGTGGCACCTGCTGGGTCTGCCCCGTGACCTCCTGCTGCACCTAGCCTGGCACAGTAGAGGGTACAGCTGGTGGTGCATATACCGGTCATCTCAGTCAGTCGACCCATGGCACCTGCTGGGTCTGTCCCGTGACCTGTTGCACCTAGCCTGGTACAGTAGAGGGTACAGCTGGTGGTGCATCTACCAGTCATCTCAGTCAGTCGACCCGTGGCACCTGCTGGGTCTGCCCCGTGACCTGCCGCCGGGCGTTCGACACTTCACGTGGCCTCAACGTGCACCTAGCCTGGCACAAGCGCCGTGCTGACGGCACCGCCGCTTAGTGGCGAATAGCGCTTGTACATTGTAAGGCAGGCGAGCATTCAGTTAGGCAGATGTTGAGGTGGTGAGGCACATTGAAGGCAACGAAGATGCACACGTACAGGTCAAATCCACTGCTGGATGAGGCAGGATTCTGAAGAAAATAGTGGGGGGAGAAAAGGCAAGTCTCTCTATTCAAATTGCTCATCCCACACCCACCATTGGAACCTCCTTTGCCAGTAGCAAAATATGATAATTGTTTTTTTTACCCTTTTATCTGGCAACAAAACTGACACCTTTTTTTACAAGGAGTCATGTTTGCATAGACCACAATACCTGCAGTCGGAATGCAAACAAAAAACACAACTCTGATAATGTCATCTGGTCCAACACCATGTGAGACTAGGCTCTAAGAAAAGCTGTCTCGGGTGTGGACCAATCAATTTCAAGGACAGTGCATATCATTATGAAAGTTGTGTTTTTTGTTTGCATTATGACTGCAGGTATTGTGGTCTATGCAAACATGACTCCTTGTAAAAAAGGTGTCAGTTTTGTTGCCAGATAGAAGGTTAAAACCCAATAATCCCACACCCCTCCTTGGCTTGACCGCCTGTCATTGGTCATTGTTATTGTCATCATTAGTTCATTATCATTACCATCACTGTCATCATACGCACTATCGCACCCTCATCGTTTGGGAGCCCCAGCATGTTGTAATCGTGAGCACACTGGACATGCAAAAACCGCACGCCG